ACACACAAACACACACACACACACTCATACCTAACCACATATCATATCTCCTCCCCCCACCTTTGACAACAGCAACAACAGCAACAACAAAAACAACAACAACCACACACAAAGACACACACACACACACACACACACACACACACACACACACAAACACCGAGAAAAACGAGAAACACGTACCTCTTCTGTACATCCGTAGCTCATAGTACTCTATCCCGTGCGGCGGCTTGCCGTCGTGTTCTGTAGGGCAGATGACACTGAAGTATACCAGGACAGAGAACTCGCCCTCTTGGACTCGGGGGAAACGCTGAAAAGGAACCCTTTTGTTTGGATTTTTTTTCAGACAGAAGTACTCATACACGCACTTACAAACTCACATAAACACACACATACACACACACACACACACAAACACATACGCACACATACCCAAACACATACACAAATATACTCATGTACACGCATACACATATACGATCCTGAATTTAAGTCAACAATAATTCTCATAGTTTATAACAATCAACTATGCACTCACTACCCCCCCCCTCCCCAGAAATGAAAGCATCGTTACCTCAGTTGAGGACGATGCAGATGTCCGTGGTTCAAATTTTCAAATGAAACATTTTCGAACTTACGATTACGACATGATAGTTTTCAAAGCTCTCCACTCACTTAGTTTAGTTCAATCGGAAAGGGCAATGCATTCGATGATTCCTCCTTCGAACTAACCATGTATAGTGTTTAAAAGGGGCTCAAAATTACTTACTATAAATCAACGTACGCATGCGCATACCAGTACACACACTCTGTGAAGCACACACCAACACAACTTCTAATGCAACATTATCCTCACCAGTGCTTGCCAACCTAGATGATTTGGCAATTTTGATGGGAGGTGGGAATCGCCCAGATAGTAACAGGTTGAAATCAATAAACCGTTTAGAAATACACTGTGGGTGCCACGGTCCTGAGGATGAAGTAGCTCAACATCATTTTCTTGTCATGTCGGTAGACGGCCTGAGAGGTTTCTCGTGGAGGGCTGGGCGTGCAAACATGACAGGGCGC